GAAGAATTTAATTGAATTTTTCTTTTTTTAATGCTTAATTGACTTGAATTTCATAAAGTGTCCACTCATCACATTCAAAATACTGATATTGATACAGTGTTGGACTGAGTATTGTTTCTGTGAAATGGTCAATTTGTTGCATAATATTTTGTGAAATCCACCTACATTGCCCTTAAGAGAAAATGTTCACATTTTTAGACACAATGCAAAAGTAAACATTAACCCTGACCTTCTAAGATAACATAACTAGAAAGTAGTGCTGTCAAACGATTAATCGTGATTAATCGCATCCAAAATAAAAGTTTTTGTTTACATAATATATGTGTGTGTGTACTGTGTATACAGTGTTGGGGAGTAACTAGTTACATGTAACGGAATTACATAATTTAATTACAAAATAAAAGTAATTGTAATCAGTTACAGTTACTAAGAAAAAATGTGTAATTAAATTACAGTTACTTATGAAAATGTTAAGGATTACTTAGATTAACTGTTTTTTCTAAGGCATTGTTAAATTCCAGTGTTTCCGGTCATGCAAAGATTTGATTTCAAAAACAGTATCATGTAGTATCATTAAACTATTTCTTGTTATGATTTTAAATATGCATTTAACCTCAGAATGATTTTAAAGTAAGTCTGAAATCTGCAGCTGGATCATGAACAATGGGTACCCAAAGTAACCTTCCCAACACTGTGTGTATATTTATTATGTATATATAAATACACACATGCACGTATATATTTAAGAAAAATGTTATATTTGTATATTAAATACATTTATATATAATATAAATTATATAGATATATACATGTAAATATTTTCAAAATATATATTGTATGAGTGTGTATTTATATATACATAATAAATATACACAGTACAGTACACACACATATATTATGTTCACAAAAACTTTTATTTTGGATGCGATTAATCGTTTGACAGCACTACTAGAAAGTGTAAATACATGCTCTTATCTGCGAAACAAGTCAGAGGTCTGTATGAGTATTAGTGCATGTTGTATTGAAATTCACTCTCTGGCTTTTATTTCCACAGATGAAGTTGTTAAATCTGTATATTAAGAGGGCCCAGACCACCAACAGCAACAGCAGCAGTTCTTCAGATGTGTCGTCTCACAGCTAGCCGGATGTACTCTAATCAGTGCCCTACACGTGCATTTGGGAACATAGTTGTGCCTCCTTCAGACATCCTTTTTTTTATTGCTTCATCACAGTCATCACATTTTCCCAGAGAGATGTGTTGCTCACTTCAATCAGACTTTTCTTTTCATCCAACTCCTGAAAGCCTCTTAGTTAATGTCTCATGCATCTTTCCATCTGTGGAACATTGAATGTAAAGGGGTTCGGATCAAGAAAAATGCATGCCGGCTTTTGATAGGGAACAGATCTTCCATGATTGGCATAGCTTCCTTAATTGGAGCAAACAAGCTATCTTCAGCTTCTGAAGAGGTGATTCGTTAACTACATTTATTAGTAATAACTTATTCATGTTTGCAAGTGGTGTTAAAGGTTTAATCGAGTTATTTGGATATTTTAAACGGGCACAGTTGGGTTAACTAATACATCACTTGAATCTCAGTTAATGCTAGTGGATCATTTGGCTGGCCGAGTGATAAATGTAAAGAAAAGAGAAAAATGTAAGTAATTTGTAGGTTTGGCTACAATGACAACCAAAACAAATGTAGGATTAAAACATTCTTATATTCATTTTTATTTCATGGGACCGCAATACCGCATCCCGTAATGTTGAAAGTGTAGGAAATAATGTTAGTTTCCAAGTCTTTAAAAAGGCTAATGTAAAGCAATTGTGTTGATTTTATTATAGGATGGATAATGTGTTCAAAATGTGGGCCTCACTACAGAATACAAGGACAGACTTCTGAATGTCGAGCTTTTCTTTTCATCTTTGGAAAAAAAAAGCGAAAGGTTTTGGGAGTAAACGTGCAAGCCATAACACACTTGGACATTTAAAAGTTGACAAACACTCAATGGCGTCAAAAACATGACCAGGAGCATCTTCAGACAAGAGACAATGAAGGAAACCGATTACCACTTTGTTCTTGGAGCAAGAGGATTGTGATGGAAATTTCCAAACTACTATGCCTTACGTTCCTTTTTCTGTTTTCAAAGCTCAGACTGTTAAGATATATACGTGTCCACAGGCATTCTTACTACATCGCTAAAGCATGGTGCTGCAAGTTTGCGCAGCACATGTCTATGACACTAATGAAAACCCTCTAATCTGGCTCAAGAACTAGAGGTGATGTTATGTCCTCTGAAAGCTCTGAACTCTTTCTTTTCCTTGTTCATCTGGAGATTTTTCCCATCTGATGTTAAGTGCTGAGCGTTTAGTGTTTTGTACATACCTTACAATCATTGCTTCTCCCTCCCCCACAAAATTAAGGTAAAAACTATGTTGCACTCTTTTGCACGTTAACAAATAGCCTGCATGTTTTGACGACATAACCATCCTGTGCTGCCGCGACTGACCTAGGTTTGGCTGTTTGTGCCACGTCAGCGGTCTGGTCGGTCTGTAAATACAGTATTATTATTGTTATTATTAATATGTTGCCCGTGTGGGGAAGTAAGTGCAAAGCTCAAATGGGTCTCACAGAGTTTGTCTGTTTGTCTCAGACTGTGAACCAGACCATATTAGAAATTAAGGACAGACATTTGAAAGCACCCTACTTTCCTTAAGTATTATATACTGGGGCATGTTGCTTTTATTGGTATGCTAAGTGTGCGTACCCTTGTTTGTTGCGGCATTTCTTTCTAATGGTTTTTAACCGGTTCAGACCATGAACCTACATTTTGTTTTAGACTGGGGCTATTCATAAAAATAATCTGTTAATGAAAGAACAAAGCAAACTGTGAGGATCAACAATGCAAGTATTAAGTTAAACGTGGCCCCTTGTTTTTCCTCAAATGTTGACCTCTAATGGTATTCCATCAAACAATTCACTACGCATGTTAGACTTTGTTTTGTCATTGGACACAGATACACTCATGTATTTGTAAATTTGTTATTTCATTTCCTGTCCCAATGTACAGTTTTTGTTTTTTTTCAAAGGCTTGTGATAGATTTACACCAACCTAAGTTTGGCCTACAATTAAAACAACCAGAAACATGAATTTATTGTGATGATTATTTCAAACTCTAAAATCTATCTTTTTTTGTTTTGGGGCTGTTGAATGTGCTATCAGCAATATAATTCATGCACCAGTACATTTATAAACGAAGTCACATGTGATGACGTGTACTCAGTCCTAGTGAGTCCAGTGTGAAAGAAATGACCAGGTTACAGGTCACCTCAAAATCAAAACATCAATTTATATATTGCATTAAGAACCTGAAGCTATTTTCAAATCATTTTAAATAATTTATTTTATGTTATTTTTTATTTATTTTGCATTGTGAAGTTATTTTTGACAACAAATTGTTAAATTACATTTTTCTCAAATATTCAGTGTGGAAAAAAAATAATTCTCTGTAAAGCAATAATGAGTCATTCTGTCTGGACATTTAAAAAAAAAAAATCAAAATCATCAATGATCAACGACTATCAAATACGACATAAAAAAACTGTCATTGTGTATTTTTAGTACAATGGTTTAAAAAGTAGGTTTTTATTTAAGCAAAATAGATTTGGACTTGTTTATATGTATATAACTTTTATTTTTACGTTTTGGTGAAATATAACCTGGACATTCTTGACAGTTTTTGAGATTCGTCTAAATATCAAAGTTTTTAGTATTGCCATTAGTATTGACATCAAGGCTTTTCAACAGTGCAGATGTGAAAATGTAGTTGGCTACAGAAGCACCTGTGCGCACTCAAACATCATATTGCATAATCTAGTTAATAAAGCAACTCAGTCTTGACCTTTGATGTACACAGTATCAGTTTTACCAGCTGCGTTTGTTATTAAAGGGGTCATATGATGTTGCTAAAAAGAACATTATTTTGTGTATTTGATGTAATGAAATGTGTTTATGTGGTTTAAGGTTGAGTGAGCAGAGGCCGGAGTCCTAGAGTGAGCGGCGGCCTAGAGTGCTACAGTGAGGAACGGCTGGAGGGATTGAGTGAGCGGAGGCCGGTGGGCTTGAGAACAGTGCGGCCGGCGGATTCGACGAAGGAGCGGCCGGTGGACTTGCGGCAACCACATGTGACGACCCCGGGCTGGACTCCGCTTCGTTCACGGTGAAAGCCGATCCGGCGATCCACAGCACAAAGTTGTTGTATTTCCTCAGCGACCAGCACGGATCAGCTCCAGGCAGAGGAAGCGGATATCGTCCTCTTTTGGAAGGCCAACCAAAGTAGTTTTGCTTTCACAACGAATCACACAGCGACTCCACAACATGGCAGCGGCGCAACAACAATACTACAGCGAGAATCAAAGTTACACCTTCTTTCTTTGCGTGAACATTTGGGCGGCGTTATGCAAATCTTCCCACATCGTGACGTAGACATGTGGGGGCGTGTTAGAACGAGGCGTTTTAGGTAGGCGTGGCTGACTCTTAACTTTTATAAAGAATATCTCTTTGGATTTGAGACTTTAGTCTTTGCAACTTTACAGATCTTCTTTATGCACCAAGAGCTTGTAACACTCCAAAGAGAAAGGAAAAATTGAAATCGCATCATATGACCCCTTATTAACTTTTGACCATTTAATTTCCTATTTGGAATAAATAACAGGAAAGGAATAGACTACTCGTCGTTTTTTGTTTAGTTTAACGAACGGAAAACTAGAATTTGCTTCAATTTATCATTTTAGAAAAGCTTGATATACCACCCCGTCTTCTATACTAAAATATTAAACAAGGGGCTAAGTAAATAATACAAAGACGTAAATAAATAACAGGTGAGAAATGATAAATGCTGTATTAGTGGCTTAATAGTTGTTGCTTCTGTCTTATGTACGAATGGAGCTTAGCAGTACACCAGTAGAAGTTAAATAAATATTAAAACGAGGGTTTTAAAGGGTCTTTAATATTTTCAGTCAGGCATAGTATGAGTCAGTCAGCTGAGCGAAGGACCCCACGCAGCACGCTCACACGTGTTTGTCTACAGCCATGGCGGACATGCAGATGAAGATTCTCCGCAAGAAAATTCAGAAGAGAAATGATAAAAATAAACAACGCAAATTGCTCAGAGCTCAGAAGGAAGAAGAGGAAAACGGTGAAGGTGATTTTTCTCTTAAATTGTAAAGATGAATGTGATGTTTAATTAATTCAGACGTTATCTCAGATCTAGCATGTGCTAATCACACTGCTCGGTGCATTCGTAAAGTTTGGTCTTATATTTTAGTCAGTTGTATTTAACCTAGCAACACGACATATGGGTTTAATAAAATAGTAATTATAATGTTGTTTATGTGTTGTTTAGTTTTTGTATTGAGGAACTTTAACATTATACATTAACCGACAGAGGTCAAAGTTGTTCTGGACGAATCTGATTCTGCTCCAAACGTCAGTGAAGAGCAGCAGCAAAGTATCTCCACTGAGGAGAACGAAACCTCACAGAAAATCAAGAAAAAGAAAAGAAAATTGGATGGTGCAGGGGACGCAGCATCCAGTGAGTATTTAATATTGCTGTGATGATGTCGTTATAATTAGTGGTTAGTCACTATGGGATTTTCAATGGGCAATATTTGTAGCTAGAGAGGTGGCTGCTAAATATGCAATTTAATTATAGCATTTGAGATGTATATATATTCTCTGTAATAATGGATCTGGTCCTGTAGGTGTGAAAAAAGTCAAAAAGCCGGATGTTGTTAAAGAGACAACAGAAGCATCAGATGGAGAAGATGAGAAACAGGAGCAGGAATGTGCAGAGCCTGAAAAGGTGCCAGAAAATGGAAATAATGACAAAGAGGGTTCAGCAGAAGAGGAGGATAGTGATGAAGATGGACCAGAGCTTCCTTCTGGTCTCACAGGTAAACATGACATAACCTGTTAAACACAGTCTGCTATGAGTCATATTGGTGATGAGCCTGGTTTAGTTTCTCTAGTTATCCACTCATTTCAGTGGGAAAAGTAATGAGAGATGTCCAATCAATTTGGCTATTTTTAGGAAAAAATTCCAGATTTTTTTTTTTACGGTGCATATTATTGAACAAACAACAAAATATAGGATGCATGATTTCTTACTAATAAAAAAAGATAAATGTACAGAAGCTCCTTTTATTAAGTTAACTTATAAAGAACACCTGTATTTTTTGCTTTATTTGAAATACAAAACCTTTTTGAAACGTTTTTTTTTTTTCTAAAATATAAACCAATTTATTAGACATTTATTTTTTGGACAAAAATAATTTAAGAAGTACCATTTAAATGTAATTGAGCGACAAAAAAGAGGGATGTTTTATTACTATTAAAATAAATGGTAAGAAGTTCAATCTTAATTTCACTGAAGCTGTTTTTATTCAATTAGCTGGTGAAGAACAAACAAATCGGTATTGTTTAGATTTTTTTTTTTTACAAAATATCATTGAAATGTTTTTCTTTCAAAAAAAAAAAAAACAGTTTGTTAGAAACTTATTTAAATTTTTCTCATAGACATGAATAGGTAACTATGATTTGTTTTCCTCACTGGTGACTTTCTCAGGTGCGTTTGAGGACAAGTCATTTGCATCTTTGGCGGAAGTGGTCAGTGAGAATACACTGAAGGGAGTGAAGGAAATGGGCTTTGAAACCATGACTGAGATCCAGCACAAGACCATACGACCTCTGCTGGAAGGAAGGTGAGTTTGCGGTGCATCAGACATTGCAGGATTTCAGTGGGACAGTAATCATCACTTGTTTTATTTGTTCAATCAATAATTAGTTTATTTGTTGTGATATGTGCTCATTGTTGTCCAACAGAGACGTGTTGGCTGCAGCTAAAACAGGAAGCGGTAAAACACTAGCTTTCCTGATTCCCTCCATTGAGCTTATCTACAAACTCAAATTTATGCCCAGAAATGGTGAGTGTACATATTATCATTCTCTGATTGTTATAGTCATAGCAGAGATTTAAGTATGACCTTAGAGGTGTGACATGGCTCTGGTGTGTGTGTGTGTGTGTGTGTGTATCAGGGACTGCAGTGGTCATATTGTCTCCCACTCGTGAGTTGGCCATGCAGACGTATGGTGTTCTAAAGGAGCTGATGACTCATCATGTGCACACATATGGCCTCATCATGGGCGGCAGCAACCGTTCTGCTGAAGCCCAGAAACTCGCCAATGGAGTCAATATCCTGGTTGCTACACCTGGCAGACTTCTCGATCACCTGCAGGTAAGGCCTTTTACAATCAACAGCTTTGCCACACGGGTCTGTGGAGTGTACTTGACCACTTTTTCTTTCCACAGAACACACCCGGGTTCATGTTTAAGAACCTTCAGTGTCTGATCATTGACGAGGCTGATAGGATTCTAGAGGTTGGCTTTGAGGAAGAACTGAAGCAGATCATCAAACTACTGCCTAGTAAGAACTGACGAACCTGACCACTCTGAAGTCACTTCCTTTAACCAGGGTTCTTGCACGTCCTTAAATATTTCTCTTTCTTTCCAGAAAAAAGACAGACCATGTTATTTTCCGCAACACAGACACGTAAGGTGGAGGATCTTGCACGAATCTCCCTCAAGAAGGAGCCGTTGTATGTGGGGGTGGACGACAACAAAGACACGGCCACCGTGGAAGGGCTAGAACAGGTAAACTGCTCACCTGTCTAACTCCTTTATCAGTACCAGTTGATCATGTGTTGTGGGAGTAAGATCTTATTTGAGTTTGACCTTGTGTTGTTTTTAGGGATATGTCGTATGTCCTTCGGAAAAACGTTTCCTGCTGCTCTTCACGTTTCTGAAGAAGAACCGCAAGAAGAAGCTGATGGTGTTTTTCTCGTCTTGCATGTCTGTGAAGTTCCACTATGAGCTGCTCAATTACATCGATCTGCCCGTCATGGCCATTCACGTGAGTCACAGAGCCATACGCACATAAAGCGAGATGGGAAGTGCCGTTGAAGCAGTGTGATGAATGCTTTTGTTTTCACGGTCTTTCAGGGGAAGCAGAAACAGACGAAGAGAACCACAACGTTTTTCCAGTTCTGTAACGCAGACTCTGGTATTCTCCTCTGTACGGATGTGGCTGCCAGAGGTCTCGATATCCCAGAGGTGGACTGGATTGTTCAGTACGACCCACCCGATGATCCAAAGGTACAGCAGTCACGCCCCCTAGTCCAGCCTTGCTGATTGATATATATACGCTTGTATTTTGATTTTTATATGTGACTTTTCTGTTGATATTTAGGAGTACATTCACCGTGTGGGACGAACAGCTCGTGGTATTAATGGTAGAGGACATGCCCTCCTGATCCTAAGACCGGAGGAGCTCGGCTTTTTACGATTTCTCAAACAGGCCAAAGTATGAAGTCCCTATAGTTGTGGTTTTATATTGGCTTTCAATGTGTCGGCTTTGTATGATCATGACAGGAGTTTAAATACTCTGTATAACTTTACACGTTAACTAAACTTACATATAAAATGATTAAATACTATATTGACATAAAAAAACTGACAAGAAAATTACAAAATCTTGAAATAAAATTTAAGTGAAAACAAAATATAAAAACAAAATCTAATTCAAAATAGTAACAAAGTATAGTAGTACATCAGTGATACTAAAATAACACTGGTAAGCTGTTAAACATGTCAAGGTGAATCTTGAAAAAGGCATTTCTTATTGTCTCTCTCTTGTGTTCTTCTAAAGGTCCCTCTGAGTGAGTTTGAGTTCTCCTGGGCTAAAATCTCTGATATTCAATCTCAGGTGAGACTTCCTATTCAGTGAAGTTGAACTAAATCTCTTGCTCTTTTCAAATATAACCCCTTTGAATCCTAATTGACCTGTTTAAAATCGGTATTTGCTTTGGTCTTTTGCAGTTGGAGAAGCTGATAGAGAAGAACTACTACCTTCACAAATCAGCTCAGGAGGCCTACAAATCCTACGTCAGATCTTATGACTCGCATTCCCTCAAACAAATCTATAATGTAGAGACACTCGACCTCCCGAAAGTGGCAATGTCCTTTGGGTTTAAAGTGCCACCTTTTGTGGACCTCAGTATCCTTTCAGCACTGTATCACAATGCTACTCTTGCATGTGGAACTTGTTACTTAAAGGGTTAGTTCACCCAAAAATGAAAATTCTGTCATTAATTACTCACCCTCGTGTTGTTCGAAACCCGTAAGACCTGCGTTCATCTTCGGAACACAATTTAAGATATTTTTGATGAAATATGAGGGCTCTCTGACCCTCCCATAGACAGCAAGGTAAGTGGGTCAGCGCCGGCGCCGCCACACGCTCGCGTCATGATACTGTCGTGAACGCGCGTCCA